TACGGGAGGTACGTCGGATTTTATTCCTATTTTACGGCTAAATTCGCTGTAGCCCAAATAGTTTTTTTAAGCTTCTACTGGGTGTACCTAAAAGGTCTTTACAACGCTCCACCAGATAATTCTAAAATAAGATAATCTAAATAAGATAATTCTAAAAGCAAAAAAAAAAATTCCGCTATTTATCAAAAGGATAGGGCATAACTGACGCCCTCTACAAGCAACGCCAAAATTAGTTAAAAATTCTTATTTGTCATGTCAAAAAACATAATAGTGCCAATTTAAAATTCAAACATTGTATCTTTGAAACCAGCAACATGTGTATAAGGCATGTTTGGCTCAATCGACTTATTTTGGCCACCAGTATCTTCGAGATTTCGCAACCTTTCGCGTTCACCCTGTATCTATCACTAAATTGGCATCATGCTGAAGTTAATAGTTTAAAGACTGTAAATAAAAATAACTTTTTAACTTGTTAATGAAGGCCCGTATGAAAAAAATGTATAATGAAGAACTGACTTTTGACCTCATTTATTTGTACTCTATTTTTTTTGTATCAAGTACGGGACACCTACGTGTCGAAAATAAGTGGAGATACAGGTGTATCCCGGTTATTTTTAGCGATCGCCGTCACGTATCGATTTTTTTTTTAATATTCAGTTGTTTACCCTGCCCCAATTTAGTTTGATGTGATTTAGGATCACTCAGGAAGTCATTAATTTTTAAGTTACCCTTGCTCCGCGCCATTTCGCAAAACCCTTCTCCTCATTTAAAATTAACCATCGGAATTGCCGGGGCTTTACCGAAATAGAACACAATTTATTTTATACATTCAGATTCCTTGAAGGATTTACTTTTTAAAAGGAAACGCCGTAAATTTAATTTGTAAAGGATTTGCTCGGCGGCAGACGAACAACTTTTAGGGCCGCACTTATTTTAAAAATAGAAACTGATGTTTCGGTTAGTGAACATATGCTCCCCTCAGATAAAAGTTACACCCGTGCATATTTTATTAATTCGCGTGTTTGATTTCAGATTCGGCGCAGGCAGTAGCACCAACTGTGATTCTACAATGGAGACAGAGGATGAGGACAACGAGGAAAAAGCGTCCAAATGAGGGAAAGGAAAGCATTGCGTCCACGATGTCCAGTTTGCAGCTGCAGATCGTGGTACTCCTAAGTTTTTACATTCAGATGAGTCTAGCCGAGTGCCCTAGGTTATGCGAATGCAAGTGGAAGAGTGGGAAGGAATCCGTAATATGCCTGAACGCCAACCTATCAGTCGTACCGCTTCACTTGGACGCCGGTACGCAGGTTCTAGACCTAACAGGTAACAACCTGGCGGTGATCAGGCACGAGGAATTCAGTAGAGCCGGCTTGATGAACCTACAGAAAGTATACCTGGCCAAGTGCCGACTGAAAACGCTTGAAAGATTCTGCTTCAAGAACCTTATAAATCTAGTCGAGTTAGATTTGAGCTACAACGTTTTAACCAACGTCCCTTCCCACTCGTTCGATTCAATCCAAGAACTGAGGGAGCTCAAAATGAACGGCAACCCCATCCAAAGGGTGTTCAACAACGCGTTTATCAACCTCCCACAACTAATCAGACTAGAGATCACCGAGTGCAGAATCCTAACCATCGAACCAAGAGCCTTCGTGGGTCTCGAGAAATCCTTGGAGTGGCTCAAGTTGGACAAGAACAAGCTGACGGACGTGGCGGCTTCCACCTTCACCATCCTCCAGAACTTGCACGGCCTAGAACTAGCGGGGAACCCTTGGAACTGCTCCTGTTCCCTTCGGCCTCTTCGGGAGTGGATGCTGAGGCAGAACGTACCTTTCGACATACCCCCGGTGTGTCAGTACCCCAAAAGGCTGCACCTGAAGTCCTGGGACAAGCTGGACCTGGACGAATTCGCTTGCGTGCCGGAGATCTTCGCCTACGACAGCAGGGCGCACGGAATCGAAGGCAAGAACGTAACGATGACGTGCAGGATAGCGGGGATACCGGAGCCGAACGTGAGGTGGTTGCTGAAGAACAAAGTGATAGCCAATCTGTCGGGTTCGCCGTACTCCAGTGGTAAGAAATTGTACATGGTGCACTTAAGTAATAAATCCAGTGATCTGACGATATTCAGTGCCGACCTCCAGGACGCGGGTACCTACGTGTGTGCCGCCGAGAATAAGGCGGGTAGGGCGGAGGCCAGCGTCACTCTGGCCGTGTCCAAGAAGCCGCCCGAAAGCGGTTTCACCAACAAGGTGCTACTGGCGAGTGTGTGTACGGGCGTGGCCTTCGTTCTGATATCCTGCTTGATATCGCTGTGCGTGTGCTCCGTGCGGAAGAAGCAGGTGATGAGGTGGCGCACCCGCGAATGTCGCAGGGAGGACAATTACGAAAAGATCGAGATGAACCACAAGGTGGTGAATACCAACGGCGGGGTGGGGGCCAATCCAGAGCAGATCGCCGTGGTGTCGAGCCGCAGGAACGGGGAGTACAGGGTAGTGCCGGGCGGCGATACCGACCAGGAGGCGGAGGAAGAGGAGGAGGGTAACGCAGAGTCGGGGTCCAATAGTAAGAAGGGGAGTAACGCGGACGAGAAGAGTTTGGAGAAGAATTGGAATTCGCCAGAACACTTGTTGGATCCTGAGGATCTGCATATCCCTAGGAGGACGTTGCAGGAAACTAGGTAAGACTTTCGTATAACCGCACTCGAAAAAAAATTAAAGGGGCAGACACGTTTTCAAATTTTGCTGTAACTTCGTGGATAATAGTCGTATCGATAAAAAAAGAAGCTTCTTGAAGCTTGAAGATTACAGTTTTGAAATCTTGAGATGAAAAAATTTTTTGAGCATCACTCTAGGCGCAATCAAAAGAAATAATGCGACGCAAAAATTTTGCAATTCTTTATTTTTCAACTCGGTTTCACCTTTTTTTTTATTATCTATATCCCTTGAACTAATGATCGTACAGCAAACGGAAGGTGGGTTTTAGAAACCCGAATCAATCCTCTTCAAAAGCCTTTTGGTATGTTTGAGAAAAAAAAATTTTGNGCACCTGAAGTCCTGGGACAAGCTGGACCTGGACGAATTCGCTTGCGTGCCGGAGATCTTCGCCTACGACAGCAGGGCGCACGGAATCGAAGGCAAGAACGTAACGATGACGTGCAGGATAGCGGGGATACCGGAGCCGAACGTGAGGTGGTTGCTGAAGAACAAAGTGATAGCCAATCTGTCGGGTTCGCCGTACTCCAGTGGTAAGAAATTGTACATGGTGCACTTAAGTAATAAATCCAGTGATCTGACGATATTCAGTGCCGACCTCCAGGACGCGGGTACCTACGTGTGTGCCGCCGAGAATAAGGCGGGTAGGGCGGAGGCCAGCGTCACTCTGGCCGTGTCCAAGAAGCCGCCCGAAAGCGGTTTCACCAACAAGGTGCTACTGGCGAGTGTGTGTACGGGCGTGGCCTTCGTTCTGATATCCTGCTTGATATCGCTGTGCGTGTGCTCCGTGCGGAAGAAGCAGGTGATGAGGTGGCGCACCCGCGAATGTCGCAGGGAGGACAATTACGAAAAGATCGAGATGAACCACAAGGTGGTGAATACCAACGGCGGGGTGGGGGCCAATCCAGAGCAGATCGCCGTGGTGTCGAGCCGCAGGAACGGGGAGTACAGGGTAGTGCCGGGCGGCGACACCGACCAGGAGGCGGAGGAAGAGGAGGAGGGTAACGCCGAGTCGGGGTCCAGTAGTAAGAAGGGGAGTAACGCGGACGAGAAGAGTTTGGAGAAGAATTGGAATTCGCCAGAACACTTGTTGGATCCTGAGGATCTGCATATCCCTAGGAGGACGTTGCAGGAAACTAGGTAAGACTTTCGTATAACCGCACTCGAAAAAAAATTAAAGGGGCAGACACGTTTTCAAATTTTGCTGTAACTTCGTGGATAATAGTCGTATCGATAAAAAAAAAGAAGCTTCTTGAAGCTTGAAGATTACAGTTTTGAAATCTTGAGATGAAAAAATTTTTTGAGCATCACTCTAGGCGCAATCAAAAGAAATAATGCGACGCAAAAATTTTGCAATTCTTTTTTTTTTCAACTCGGTTTCACCTTTTTTTTTATTATCTATATCCCTTGAACTAATGATCGTACAGCAAACGGAAGGTGGGTTTTAGAAACCCGAATCAATCCTCTTCAAAGGCCTTTTGGTATGTTTGAGAAAAAAAAATTTGTACTCGGCATTAATTTGAAAAAGTGTAAAAAAATGTTTTTTTCCGCTGTTTTAGAAAATTAAAGACTACATTGCAAATATTGCGAAAAGTACCAATGTTCGTAGGTTATTTTTTAGCTCAATACATGGCCGTGAGGCCTGTAAATTTTGAAACAGATCTGTCGAACCGTTTTCCTTTCCTGAATCGTCAAAGTTTTATAAAAAATTAAAGCATATTTATTGCTCCTTAAACATTAATTAATTTGATGAAACAAATTTTTTTTGCGTTAAATACTCATCAAATATGGAAAAATAAGAAATATATTCAAAATTTTGAAGAAAAATCGGATTTTTCAACTTTTTTTAAATTCAAATTTTTTTTCTTGATATTTGAAATATTCAATGTAAAATTGTAAAAAATGACAAAAAAAAATGTAAAAAAAATTTAAAAATATTTTTTTTTCAAAATTGAATTTTTTGTTTCAAAATTTTGATTTTTTTTTTGGTTTTCGATATTTGATGAATATTTAAATTTGTTTCATCTTAGTCATTAATCAAAAATCGAGAAAAAATACAAAATTTTGAATAAAAAAATCGATTTTGAAAAAAAAAATCCAATTTTTCACTTTTAAATTTTTTCTCTTTCTCGTTTTTACAATTTTATTACATTGAATATATCAAATGCTGAGGAAACAAATTTTTGAAATTAACTAGAATCTTCATGCTTCAAGAAGCTTTATTTATTTTTTCTCGATACGATCATTATTCACGAAGTTACATAGTTTCAAAAATTACTAAAAAAAATTGGAAATTTTTAACGCGTTATTTTTGAGATTTTTGAAGTTAGAGGGTTTGAAAACATGACCTTCGCCCTCAACTGCAAACTTCTAGCAGCGACATCTCTGTTCATTTTTATCCTACACAAATAAAAAAACACAAAATATTCTGTGAAAAAAAAATCTAAACTTTTGTACTCTTGAATATTTTTCGCATCTTTTTTATTTTTAAAGTTATTTTCAAAAATATGTTATTTTTTTGGAATTAAAAAAAATGTTTTTTCAGTCAAAACGTAATATTTTCAAAAATATGCATTCTAAACCGCTTAAACTTGTATAATATATTGTTAGCACATAAAAAATTTAAATTGTAAAAGGACTACCTTTAATTTTAAATCTTGTAAAAAATGTATCAGCTTTTGTCCTATTTTTTTTCCGAAAAAGCGAATTCACAGTTTTATTTTGATCATAACTTTGTTAATTTTTATGTTATTGACTTGAAGTCAAGTTCATTTTAGTTATTTTACGTTAGAGATGTTTTAAAATCTTATGAGCTTTGACCTTCATATGCGCAGAAACATAATTCCGACCGTCGCCTAAATTATTCTA